AAAATTTTGGGCTCAACCTCCTTGTGCCTCAGTTTCCTCATTTTAGAGGGATGAAACAATGCTCATAAGGGTGTGGGGAGATTTAATTGTTACTAATATGTTCGCCAGTGTCCTGGATGTGCATAGTGTTGGGGAAAGTGAGCTATGGATATTATGAATTGTCAGGAACACCGTAAAACCACACATTCAAGATTACGGTCAGTGGACTTTATTTCTGGCACACTCTGCATTCTCGGAGTTTCTTCGATTATTTGCATTCTCACAATTCTTTATTTGATTATATCTTATTTAACACCAAGCAGCATTCAGGAGACAGAGAACCCCTGATTCGAACCCAAAAAACTTGCTTTGAGACTGCCATTTGCTTGACTTTGAGGAATCTTTATTAATAGAAAAGCTGTATGAATCTAGTGCTTCCATGCCCAACCAGAAGAGAAAAAGTTCTTTAACTACCTCCCATTGGACACATGACCACATAAGTCTTTTCTATCCTGAAAATCTGATTCCTAAATAACTTGCACTTACTGTGTAAAGTGGTGCCATCTCTAACCATCTGGAGTTCGTTTTCTGGATGAAAGATTTAGTTTATTGTAGAGATAGGTCCCAACTAATTCCCTGGATCCAACCACTCCCAATTTGTCAAAGGCAGGTTAAAAGTTTGAATCATGCCTATGGCCCAACTATGTAGAAATGGACCAAACCAGAACCCAAGATCTAAATATCCCCTTTCCCACCGACCTCCTAAACAAAAGTGTTGAGATTCTGGACACAATCAGTGTTTACTGTGTGTGCTTACTGGAGATGGGCCACAAATCAGAAGACAGATCTGAATTCTTCTCAGAGTTTAGGGCTTTTCAGGAGCAAGACCCCAATTTTACAACTCAGAGGTGCATAGAATCATAGGACTGGAAGGGACCTTGAGAGGTCATCTAGTCCAGGCCCCTGCACTCATGGCATCTAATCGATCGATCTTAAGATTTTATATGGCACCCATTATCACAATATTGAGCCTCTTTTTAGGCACAATCAGAACTTGGATACTCAGCCCAACTGCCCTAGAAATTTGGCCAAGTTCAGATGCAGATACAGGTCTAGATAGTATTTGTATTGCAATAGCACCTATAGTCCCTAATAATGGATCAGGGCCTCGCTGTGCTATGTGCTGTACAAAAAGTCAGTCCTTGTACCTACAGAGCTTACAGTTCAAATACAAACTGCACAGCTCAGTTCATCTCTAACTTGTGCAGAAAAATGAAATATTTAACAAGAGGCAATTCAAACCTTGAAAGGGGAGGAGGGGAAGGGAACAGAAGATGCTCTCAGACAGTACACTCAGAAAGAAATAATTTTCCATATTTGGAAATGAACATACCCCACCTACTGCTATATAGTTTGAGAGATTCAGCTTGGCAAATGCTATCGAGACCTGCACTTGCCCCAAAAAACAACCTACAACTCTCTAGCAGAAAGGTGAGTGATTGCCAACATCCGGCACAGATTTTTATCACTTATTTTCATTCATGTTTGCATAGGATCTTGCCATTTATCTTTGTTGTTTAAAAACCTCTCACTCCATCCTGTGAATTGCAGAGCTATGTAATCCCCATTTGTTTTCAGTTACTCCTAAGTGTCCTGGATAAAAGGGACTGCTCATGGACCTGCAGTAATTCATGACCCAAAGACTGATCTCGAAGCAAAAGGAATTGCATTGATGTAACAAGTCACTTCAAGCTGTCTTATCTGGATGATTATTAGACGTGCTCTCAGATAAGTTACTTGATATCCGCACAGTTAGATCCTAAAAGAACTGGCTGTTTCTTCCAGCCCGTGCAATGTTAATTGATCTAGGATATTAAAACTATCATTGATAAATATTTTTTAATGGGTACAGTTGCATGTTGGACCCTAACTGACCTTTCCATTGAGTTTCGAAACCTTGTCTCTATAGAGTCTTTTCCTGGAAAGAAAGGAATGATGGAAGAGTTCTATTCATCTGCTAGTTTAGATTGAAGCAAATATGAGTATGTTGTACTATATTTACAGGGAAAAACCACAAAGCACCTACCAAAAAATAAATAAATATGTATGTATGTATCCGGTGGGTTTCGTTGCTGAATTTAGCCTCACAGGAAAAAAAAAATCAAATCACATTCACAAACTTGCTTATGCTTTGATTTCTTCTTTGGACTAAAGCCATTTCTTAATAGTCTGTTTATGAATGAGCTAAATCCTTCTGTTCTAACCCGATCCTTACTCTCCTAGCAGTCCCACTGACTCTCAGTCAGAGTTTTGCTGGAGTAAACGCTGCATGATTTGGCTGTACAGAAACACACAGGCAGCACCCTATTTTCCCCCTTAATAATACCACCTTGTCTGTCTTGGAGCCCTCAGGATCCCAAAGCGGCTTATCATCATCCATTCCCACCACACCCCTGCAAGACAGGCAAACAAACATGGAGAAACTAAGGCTCGGGGTGGTTAAATGGTTTACCCAAGATCAGAGAAAACCAATGGGAGAGCTGGGGATGAGAACTTAATTCCTCTGCTCTAACCAGAGGTCAGAAAAAATAGGAAATGGTGTAGAATCATTCACCCATCCCATCTTCTATATGTTTCAAGCTAACCAACATGATACATATACTCTATCTATTTAAAACGCACCCATCACCCTGGTATCTGCATTGTTGTCTCTTGTTGATCTTTCCATTCTAGCCTGCCACTCTGATGAACAAGACTGGTAAGCAAAAAACCCTGACCCAAACATAGACATTTGAACCGAATGCATGGGTGTGGGTACATAGCTAAGAGGGAGAAAGAGAGAGAGAGAAAAAAAAATGTGTGTAATTGCACCATTTTCCTTCCTTTTTCTCTTTTCTGTGGAGCATTCGGAGACAACACTCAGCAGTACATCTGAGTACCCTTAGCTGGGTCCACAGAATTGATTCAATGGGGAGTTTGATTTGACCGCCTTTTTTAAAAAAAAAGTTACCCACAGATTTCTGCGATGAATAAAACAGCCACACACTATTTCCACAGGAAGAAGCTGTAACGTACCGTGGAACAATTTGCCAGGGCTGCAAGCTATGAACCTTGCTCTATGAACCTAGCTGGAAAGCGGCTACTTGTTACTTTCCACTGAAAGTGAGGCCTTACAAAAAGACAACATCCTGTGATCATAAAACAGCCTTCCTATTAGCACTGAATGAGTTGGGACATTAGGGACCTGATGCAAAGCCCACCAAAGTCAATGGAAAGTCTCCCATTGGATTAGGTCCTACATGCTCAGAAAAGTATTTCCACACCGTGAACATGAACAGTTTCAAAACTTATTATGATGGGTCCAATGGATTGATTTTTAAGCAGATTCTCCCCCCCCCCCCATTGATATGGATGGGGGGAGTTCTGCTTGATACCCAATGGCACAATATGGGTTGTGGCTATTTCTTACCCCCATCCAATTCCCAAACACAGTGGGTTCAGAAGTAAATGAGGTTAGGTGGAGAACAGCAAAGGATCATTAAAAACTAATATGCACCTGGTCCAAAGCCCATTGAAGTCAGTGGGACCAATGTGTTACTGGAGAGCCCTATTCATTATTCCTAATTCTCCTTTAGCAGCATACAAAGAAAGCTCTTACGGCAGCCTAGTTCGTTAGGAATTAATTCCAAAATACTTAGAAGTTAGAAAAGCCCTGAACTCCCTACTTAAATCTCAATGGGGAAAAGCATCTAAAGCCCCTAGGTCATTTTGAAAATAGAAGCCATTGACTTTAACCAGTGCCTCAGTTTTCCCAGATGTAAAATGGAAATATCACTCTGGCTACTTACATGAAGGTACCTTTGCACCTGCAGCTGAACCAATGCTTTGCAAGGACAGGTCAGTCTACTGCACCATGCAACTGGCCCCCCACTGCTGTAGTTTCTGGGCAGGTCACAACACCCCTGTGGGGCAGGGCTCTGTGACTATCCCCATTTGACAGGGCCCAGAGATGGAAAGTGATTTCATGCAAGGCCAACCCGGAAATCTGGGGCAGAGCAGGGGAATTGAACTCGGATCTCAAATTCTAGGCTGGTGCTGTAACCATTAAACCATCTTTCCTCCAGCCAAAAAGGAAGTATCTGGCTGCTCTTATGCAGCCTCTGGGTAATACTGGAGGGTTGTGATGCTTCATTATAAAGTCCTTTGAGACTTCTGAATGAAGAGCGTTATCTACGTATGATTATTTGTCACCTAAATGTTGGCACCTTCCCCTGGTTGTTACCCCAGCAGTCAAAAGCTTGCCCAAACTGCATATGTCATGGAGTTGACATGCTGGAGAATTTGGAACCAGAGTTGTTCCCCCTCCTCTTCCAAAAAAGGTGGGGGAGCATTTGGGACAAGGGGGTTGGTTTTGTCAATTATAAAGTTAGGAACTGTTTGCAAAATTCGGGTCTAGAGGCGGGCTAGGATTCTGAACCCCTCCAAAGTTTACAGGGTGTTGGGATTGAACCCATATCTATAGGAAATACATTAGGTTGTTAAGAATTAGCATTAATCCAAGAAGGACATTGTGGAATTGGAGAGGGATCAGGAAGAGCCGTGAGAATTAGGAAAGGATTGGAGAACATGCCTTATAGTGACAGACTCAAGGAGATCAAAATATTTAGCTTAAGAGAAAGTTAAGGGACGACTCTATCCCAGGCTATACGTGCCTACATGGACTCTTCAATCTAGCAGACAAAGAGCATAAGAAGATCCAATGGCTGGAAGTAGAAGCTGGACCAGTTCAAAGTGGAAATCTTTTAAAGTAGTGAGATTCAAAGGTTAATTATCAAGTTGCCAACCGTTCTGGTGGATTCGCCCTCAATTGCCATTCGCTCAGACAAGACTGGATGGATATACCGTAGTTCAAACAGGCATTGTTTTAGAGATGTTCTGTAGCCTGTGCTATACAGGAGGTCAGATTAGATGATCACAATGGTCCCTTCTGGCTTTATGATCCAAATCTCTTCCCCTTTCAGATCCTCCAGAATGGGAAGGACCCGGATGGTGACCTGCTGGATGGCTATGCTCTTGCTGGTGCTATGTAGCAATATCACCCTTTGTAGGAGGGGCTCCTCAAGTAAGAAAGCAAGCCAGAATAAAAGTCCTCCCCCCGTTAATAAGCCCAGCCCGCCAACCAAAAAAGAACCAGTGAAGATTCCAGGAACACTCTGTTACACCGGCCAATTGCTCGACATCAAACTAGAGCCCGAAGAGGCCAAATATTACACCGACAACTTCAAAAAGTTCCCCGATTGCATTTATTACCCTAGGTGCTTCCAGTCACTAGAGCCGAACGCAACTAAGGACACATTGGTTAGTGAGTGCTTTAACGTTACGGTGAGTCTGACTGAAAACAAACTGGACTTACCTGAAGGAAAGAACGCCACCAGTGTGTACTCCAGGGTCATGTGGCAAGTGATAAGCCACTTGTGTGCAATGGAATTCTGCTGCCAACCATGCAGCCTCGCTCTGTCGATCCACGGTTCCTTTGGTTGGTTAGCAATGCTTTGCCTCGGGAGTTTTATTTCTCTTACCATGCAATGAACTTGCAGCAAAAGCCGTTGATTTACTGGCAAAAAGGGAGTGCCTGTCAGTAACTATTTACCTTTTATGATTTGTGTATATTAAGCTTCCATAATTCTTTTATTTGTTATTTTAACCAAAATCCTTTGTGCATATAAACTCAAGCATGATTTAGCTATTCTATCAAACTAATGTGCTTTGTTTTAAACTGGGTTAATGTGTGTCCAAATAAAGGAACATGCTTATCTTTTAACTCCTTTAACCTAGGCCACAGAGGGATACTGGATTCTATGGTAATAGACATTCTTATTAGTAAGTGTTATAATAAACAAGACTGGGTAATATACGGGGTGCGTATGATTGATAAGAGACATTTGTTATTGCAGACTTTTCCTGTGATGAATGAAATAATGACCCATTGAGAGATGTTAACTCATTAAGAATTACCGGTTGCCACAGCTGTCAGTAATAATGACTGGATTATAAATCCCCTTTAGTTTATCAATCAGGTAAAGTGAGATAACCATAAAAGAAATCCCATAAGTAATGAGGTAAAAATGAGATATTGAAAACAACATAGAGCAAAATGATTGTGAGAAAGTAACTTTTCCCTCCCCACAAAGATTTCTGTGTCTCACACCCTATAAAAGAAAAGAGTTTTGGGGGGATAAATTGGGAATGAATACTGCCAGGATTCCACTAAGTAAGGAAGATGGGACTAAACTACCTTCTTCATGTACAGGGGTGGTAAAGTATGTTCTCTTTCTGTATCCCGGATATTGCTGTATTAATCTTTAATTAAATAATTCCATTTGAGCCGGTTATTCCAATACTTTAATATTGTTGCATGTTGGAATTTAACAACAATGCAAAGTGAAGGAAGCCATGAGCTGGTTGCAAAGACACAGTCTTCACCTCTTCAGTTTGTGTAATGCCGACAGACCCTGCTCGACGGCGGACAGAATTGAACCGGGGATCTCTGGAGCTTAGTGCATGAGCCTCTATTGCATGAGCCAAAAGCCAACTGCCTGTTAACCAAGGCTGTAGAGCAAACTCATTTTATCTCTCCCTTTAAGTGGTCTCGGTGCCCCTAGATGGGACAGAACACCACACCCAGAAGGTGCGTGGGTTACATTTGCACAGTTGAATGATCAAGCTATTCAGTAGACAGTGATCTGTGTGCCCTAGCACTCCCTCATTTCTTTGCTTTGCCATTGCTAATCAGCATATTTGAGACTCATGGGAAACTCAGTAGTGGTAATGATATTGAATACTGGGGCGGAGCAAAGCATATTTGGAAGGGCATTATGGAGTATAAAGAAGGCAGACTATAAGGAAACCTACTGAGCAACCAAACTTCCTCCCACATGTTGAGTCTGAACCGACAAGATGCCCAGGTGCAAGAGAGTGGATGGGGATGGTAAATGTGGCACCAAATCCAGTGATCCTGCTTTACAGAGGTTATTAGATGTTAAAAAGAAAGGCTGATCTTTTGGATTAACTATAACGAAGGCAAAGATTTTGTCATGGTTATTTGTAGCAAAAGTCACGGACAGGTCACAAGCAATCAACAAAAATTCACGGAAGCCATGACTTGTCTGTGACTTTTGCTGCTGTGGCAAAAGCCTGCGGCAGCTGGAAGCTTCAGGGGGGCCCCCTCCGCCCACGGCAGCTGGGAGCTGCAGGGTGACCCCCAGCCGCTCGCCCCAGGTGTCCCCCTGATCCCATGTGAGGCTGTCTCCAGTCGCTGGAACCCTGCCATGGCCCCGCTGGCTGCCAGCTCCAGAGTCCTGCAGCCCCTGGGGCTGAAGCAGAGAATGTCATGGAGGTCTCTGGAAGTCACGGATTCCATGACCTCCGTGACATAAACGTAGCCTTAACTATAACTTTGAGACTGTAAGCTATTCAAGGTAGGGACTGTCTCCCACTGTGTCTGTAAGCACGTAACACAATGGGGCCTCTTTCTCAACAGTTTATCAAGTAGTTGTGTCCTATTCCAAGAAGGATATAAACATCTCACTCCCCTCAAATATGGAGGAATTCACATTCTACATGGTCATAACGTCACCCTGCTCATGCATCACTGAAAATGGAGCTGCTCAGAGATGGATAGAACATCATGCACTTGGCTGCAGAGACAGTAAACGCTTTAGCGGTAGGCAGTCTATTTCTTTGATTGTAAAGAATTCTAAATGAATGTTTAATGGGACGATAATGGGTGGGGCACAATGGTTTGTGCTTAGTTTGAAATGAAGGATTAATGTGCCCATTTAGAGGGCTATGACCTTCTCACATTAACGAGGTTACATCACAGCTGACTCTGACATATTACAAGGAGGAGACGATGCTGTCAGCTAATTACATTTTGCTACACCGCATCGCTCCAACGGACTGTGACCTGCAGCAGAAACAACTCTGTCCCTGGAATCAGCGGCACCCAGACTGTCTCTGCAATTGCATCATTATTATCCAAATTAAGAGCAGAGTGAGATCTAGGACCAGGTCCTCAGCGGGTGTAAATCAGCAAAGCTCCGCTGCTGATTTAAAACACACAATTTTCTATCAAACATTTTTTAAAAATACGAAAAACAGGTGAGTGACCATTCAACTAAGAACAAAAATTTATCAGAAAAATGCATTGGGTATTTTGTGTTACAACCCCCCTCAAAAAAAAAAAAAAAAAAAAAAAAAAAAA